TCAGGCCAGCGGGGAGGAGAGCAGTTAGGGGCAACCAGGCAGGCAGGCAGGTGAGTGATTAGGAGCCAGCGGTCCAGGATTGTGAGAGGGATGTCCCGGATTGGAGAGGGTGCAGGCTGGGCTGAGGGGACAACCCCCCACCCTGCACAAATTTCATGCACTGGGCCTCTAGTAGTCAATTATAAAAATAATTGACCTGTGATATCCTAGTTTATAGTTCTCACTAGCTACCAATGCTCAATGAAAAACAAGTTTATGATTTTTTTAATACTACCATGTAAGTGTGAAAATCATAAAAGAATTGAATGGTACATTTGGGAGATCCCGTTGAGCTTTATCTGGTTCATCCCTCTTGTTTTACAGTAGAGGAAAGTGGGGCCTACATGACTTTAATAGAGCTGCTCCAAATAATTTTATATCAGGGAATTAACACCAACCAAAGAGCTATGACTCAGAGCAACTTATCTTGTGAGTATATGTCCCTTTAGTTTCTTAAAAATGCCTATGTGTGTTCCCATGGTAAAATTTGTATCATATTGTTTATATTTTTGTATTTTGCCTTTTTTACTAAATATATTATGAGTCCCTCCCCCCCAAATCTTTGTTATTTGCAAATTTGTCACTCACATATTCACATAGTCACTATATAATATCTCATTGGATGGATATACCATAATTTATTTGACCTATTCCTTGTTGTTGGGCATTTAGGTTATTTTGCATTATTGTTGTTGTAATTAGAAATAAAACCTTTGCACCTAAATCATGATTTCTATCTGATTATTTCTTAAGGGGAGAAGTACCAGTTTGGTCAAAAGGGAGGGACACATTCAAGGCTTCTGATACATACTACTAAGTTGTATAGCCCAGGAAAGTTTCACAGATTTACCATAAATAATAATTTATATCTTTTCTGAAATCTTAGCAACTTTAGACCAATTATTCAAAATAATGTGTTCAAATTTGCCCTAATTTTAATAACTAAAAAATACAAATAATTATGATGCAGCTATTAGTTTAAGGAGTTAGATCTTATTCTCAAATTGTAAATGAATCTGTAGGCTAAGGGAGATATGTGTGACTAAATGGCCAAGGATTAAATGGGAAATGTTGAGTTTTCCTGTAGGGGTCACTGTTACTGTCTACAAGTCAGTAACAGATGAAAATGAAGTCATGCATTTAAGCATACACATTCATTTTCAACGCCTGATTTGTCTACATTCTCTAAATTGCAAAATAAATAAGATCTTCAGCCAGATAGCATCATAATGCCAGCTTCTTTATATAATGACACATACCATTCTCTCCACTCAATATGCTCCATTTGAATTGATTAAATGTATGCGACTCATATGAAAGGCACTGCTGCTTGCTCTTAATAGAGGAAGCATTAGCTAATTACCTAACACCATAAAGTGGTTTAAATGGCATATACTGACTTGAAGAACAGAAGGGAAAAAAACAAAAACAAAAAAACCCACAAAAAATAACGTTCAGTGCTGTGTACGGCAGGGTCCTCTCCCCTTCCCTTTGTTTTTTTCTGCTTTTCCCGTGAACCTATTTGCGCTCTGCCTCAAAATCAACACAGAAGACAAAATCAGATGCTGTAATCTACATTTTATAGTGCTATTTGAGTACAAAGAGGTGCTTTTCAATCTTTACGTGCGTATTATTATTATTATCAATGCAGCTCAAAGTTGCTCCCAACGTTCCAGGAGCCAGGCCAACGTGGCTGTGCGGACACACCTTTGCTAGGTGCTGAGGCCGGGAACAGGCCAGGTGTTGCTGGAAACGAATCAGCTCTCCTCTCTGCATAGCAGGAGTCTTTTCGTTATAAAATGCAAAGCAGCAGCCGTTTTCCATTACCCGCATCCCCAGCCCTCCTCGTCCGGGGGTAGGAAGGGGCTGGGAGGATATTTACTCTTGGCTCTTGGATTTCTCTTATTTAACTGAGCCCAGTGGCAGCTGCTTCTCTGAGCGCAACGCCAGCCGGCTCAGGGCTAGCCGCACCTGGAAGGCAAGCGGCAGAGCTGACCAGGGGCTTGGACCAAGCCCGAGCTGGACTTGGGGCATCGGGAAGCTGAAGGAGCCGGTGCAGGAAACCAGGGTGTGGTGGCCCCGGCACGCTGCGTCGCCCGGCAGCGCTTGGCTGCCCTCCACTCCTGCAGTTGGGAAGAGTTGAGGCTGGGAGTTGGTGAAACGCGCTCACCTGTCGGAACCCGGATTTAGGCAGGGAGCAGGGCCCGGCGGCCAGAGCGCGCCGGTC